AACCTGAATGAGGAAACTTTACTGGGGAAGTACTGGGTGAGGAAATAGGGGCACAGAAGTTAAGTTACTTGTGCAAAGTTCAGACCAAGTCTGTGGCAGAGCTCCAGGTGAAATCCAGACCCTGTGGGTCCCCATTCATTGTCATCACTGTACTAGCTTTCTCTTTTCAAGGATTTTCAATGTCATCTCTGAAGAGATTAATAAATCTGAAGGTCACAGGCTCTGCATTTGTAGGAAGGGACTACATATATGATTTGCTTGGGAAGGTTAAATTGTTGGGGGAGATTTTAGTTTTGTTGTATTCTAACAGTAATGAAATCACAAACTGATTTTATGAACACTGCACTTGACTCTAATGACACATGCTGTAGGCTCTGCAGATTCATACATGAAGTGGCTTGACTGGAAGTCTCAATGCAGAAGAAATTGAAATCAGCCCTTTGAGTGAGGCAGATGATACGTTCTTCCTGGGTAGCTCTGAAGATGATGTGGCTGACTGCTTGCCACAGATGCCCCACTGAAAAGGCTCTCCATTAAAGAAGTTCAGTGTGGGGGAATTATCCAACAGACACATTGTTCTTTCTTCACACCATTCCTGTATTTATTTAGTTCATTTTTCCCCACAATACAAGGAGGCTGACCTCTGCCTTCTGGTGGATAGGGACCAAGTGACCTATTTTAGAACCATTTTGCTGACAAAACTCTGCTAGTACATTATATGGAAAAGCATTCTCAGAAGAAATTTGGCTTATAGCAACAAAACATGGTGGGGGTTTGGCACTGTTTATTTTAGTGCCTTTTGAATTGTGTAAATTTTTCTTGTAGCCAAACAGCACCTCCTCATATTCCTAATGTGAACTGCCATGCCAACAAAAATTGGTTAGCTTTGGATCAGTTAATCCTTCAGAGATGGAAAGTTATAGCGTTACCACAAGTAAAGGTTAAGTAAGATCTCTTTGATATGCTGCTTTCCTGGTACTTGCCCTTGCTAGACAGCATGTACTTACGGACAGGATTAGAGAATCCTGTAGTCAGCTGTAGGGTGAGGGTCTGTGCACACAATTAGCTACTCACGTACAGTCCCATAGGAACCTGAGGAGAGTCCAAGGCAGTTGTGCTTGGGACACTGCACACAATGAGGGGAGGGAGCAAAAGGGGTGAAATTATTTTTCCCTATTCTTTTGGTCTTTCACCACAAACTGCTGTGGAGATAGAACAGTGTGATGACCATGCTTCCTTTCTGCCTTAATTCCAAGTCACGTGACTGTGATGCAGACCCCAGACATGCTTTTTCTTCTTTGCCACTTTGTTACTGATTCAGACATGATCCTCTAAGAAGGTGTTACCTTTGATCCATTTTAACTGTCCTGCAATATGGTATGTTGTGGGAAGATTAGTCCTTCAGTTTCTTACTTAATTACTCTTAATTTGCTTACTTCTGGTATAACTAGAAAAAATAATTGTCAAATAACAAAAAATCCACATTTTTTAGTTTAATGCCTAGCTGTTAATAGCTACTTAAAATATTAACTTTCTACCCTAGACACTCCTATTATTCTGTATTTTTTCCAAGCCAACCTTCTTGTAACAATGCACAGCAATGTTTTTCAGGTTCAGTGCACTTTCAATTAGCTGATTCTTTTATGTGTCTGGGAGGTAAGTTAATACAGTTATTCCTAATTTATAGACTGTCATTGTGGTGCATAGAATCATAGAATATCTCAAGTTGGAAGGGACCCATAAGGATCATTGAGTCCAATTCCCTGCTCCTCACAGGACTACCTAAAACTAAACCATATGACTAAGATCATTGTCCAGACGCTCCTTGAACTCTGACAGGCTTGGTGCCGTGACCACTTCCCCAGAGAGCCTGTTCCAGTGACCGACCACCCTCTCAGTGAAGAACCTTTTCCTAATGTCCAATCTGAACTTCCCCTGACGCAGCTTCAACCCATTTCCTCGTGTCCTATCACTGCTCACCAGAGAGAGGAGATCAGCAACTCCCCCTCCACTGCTCCCCTTGAAGAAGTTGTAGACTGCGATGAGGTCACCCCTCAGTCTTCTCTTCTCCAAGCTGAACACACCAAGTGACCTCAGCTGCCCCTTGTAAGTCTTGCCCTCAAGACCTTTCACCATCTTGGTCGCCCTCCTCTGGACACACTCTAACAGCCCGATGTCCTTCTTATATCGAGGCGCCCAAAACTGCACACAGTGCTCGAGGTGGAGCCACACCAGTGTCCTGGTTTCAGCAGGGATAGAGTTAATTTCCTTCCTAGTAGCTGGTACAGTGCTGTGGTTT